TGATGATACGTTTGAGTAGATATTGTTTGTTTTGGTAGTAAATTTGTATTAGAAAATGGTAAAAATATAGTTAAATTAGAACGATCAAGTTTTGATAGAGATTTTCCAAGAGGTGATATAGGAGTTATTGGCTCAGATGTATTATTATCTATTGATCGTTGCTTGAAATTAAAGAGATTATAATCATCAGAACTTGATGAAGATGTTTCATTATCAATACTTGATGATATTGGTGTGGTAAAAGCCATAGAGTCAGATGAATTAATATGAGATTGCATGTCATGAAGTAATAATAAACTTTTTCGACGATTTATTGTTGCTGAATTATTTTCATTTGTATTTGTTAAATTTCTTTTTATAGATTCCAGTTCATCTATTCGATGTTGCATTCGTTTTTGTTGCCAATCAGTCCAAAAACTAAAATAAAATATATTAATAAGTCGATTCACTTTTTATTCTTACCGTTCAGGTATATGATGAGCACGTTCAAGAACTCTTGAAGATAAATCAAATCGTTGTTGTGGTATAAATGAATTTGGTGAGATTAAATTATGTGGACGAGAATAATTTGACATACAACCACTACTAATATATGAACATGGTGTTAGAGCTGAATACGGTGAATACGCTGATGATACATGAGTAAAACGAAGATCAGGTACAATTTCTTTTTCAAGTTCACGAATACGTTCAGCTAATTGATGATAATTTTGTGTTTGACAAAATCTATTACCTCTGACAGATACTAATGAAGTATCTGTTAGAGCATTGCGACGATCTCGTGTATAATCAGATCGATATGACATATTTTGTGTTGCTAATCTGTATGCTTCATAAATACTATTCAGTTGTGATGATCTTCTTCGAGTATTTCCATCACTAGTCGAACGTGTTTTCTACGATAATGGAATAAAAAATGACGTCTAACATGTAATTAGATGAAGAAAAAAATATATATATTGAATATATAAACATATATCTCATAAATATTGATTCGTTTTTATCTCTCATGAATAATTAACTCGATTCTTATACATCGACTTTCGTGAAATTTTTTTTCCGGGTGTTATTCTTGTATTCTATAGTTTATTTTTGATAAAAATAAGAAAATTGCATTTATCCCAAAATAGCAAATAGAACTATAGGGTTTCTCAAAAGTCATGATCATCTAGAAAGTGCATATAATCTCTCTCTATTATTCGAAGGTCAACTAAACTATCATTAAAAATAAGAAGCATACAAAAACGATGTGCCTTATTTTTAATATTATGTTAGATTAATAAGACAAATTTGATAAAAAAATTAATTATAGCTTCGAATAGGATAGTAATTCTATAATCTAACTAATATGAAATATTTGATACAAACTGAGACATCCAATTTCAAGGTCTATTTCGTCTAACATTCTCTCTTTTTTTAATTATAATTTCTTATTAACTTACCTCATTATTTGATATATTATCCATTAATTATAAAAACAGATTTCTTAAAATAAAACAAGATAATACTGTATCTTTGTTGCATTTAAATCAACAATACACGTATATGTTTATTATGTTAGATTTCTTTTCGTAGGCATCAGCTGGTCTTTTGGCATCAGTTGAATCATTATTATATTATTTATTCTTTTTATTTTATCTTACAGAAGGAGAAAAAAACCTCAATCGCTTTTATTTTATGATTAATTTTCAAGTCTTTTTGTTTGCTGTTCTGTAAATATTGGATATAATGCAAATATTTCATTCCAAGTCACGTTTTCTGTTGCAAGATCTTGGAGAACAGATACTATTTCATCAATCTAAAACGACAAAGTAATGTTAATAAAAACAAAATGAATATTTCATATAGAAAAAAAATATTTACTTTAACACGAACTTGTTTTAATGATTCTAATTCACGTAATGCTATTGAATATGGTTGTTGTAATGTATCAAAATCAATAGCGATTGCAAATGGAATACCAAGCTCATCACAACGTGCATAACGTTTACCGATATTACTACTGCTTGTATCAATCTTATGTGAAATATTAGCTTGAGTTAGAAGATCAGCTAAATATATTTTTAAAAACAAACATATATAAAAAAAGATGAGAAAAAAAGTATACATACAGATTTGTTTAACAAATGGTTTGAATTCTGCATTTACACTCAATGGTAAAACAGCACATTTATAGGGTGCAATTAATGGTGGTAATGTAAAATACTTCAAATAATTCAATTAAGAGTATTATTAAAAAGTAGTATAATTTTACCTTTCGTTGATTATCTTCTGGACGAATTTTAAAATTGTGTTCTAATGCAACATACAGTAAACGACCAATACCAAATGTTGGTTCAATTACTGATGGAATAAATTCTTCGACTAAAATGAAAAATTCTTAAATAATCTATACAAACAAGATAAATAGAATTACCTTGAACGATTTTTTCTTTTGTTTCTAATTTAAACATAGATCGTGTAATGATAAATTCCTTCTCATTAATAGTACATTTTTCATTCTCTTGCTCAAGTTTTTCATGTAAACTATGAGCTTGATTTTCTGATAAATTTTCTAAATATTTTACAACTATTGAAGTATCTTTACGAAATATTTGACCAATTATTGTACCATTTATTCTTCTTTCAGTAATCTGTACTCGTTTCGGTACAGATAATTGTCGTTCAGCAACAAGTCGTTGACCACTAAATTTTGTATGTTGTGTTAAATCATAACAAGATCGATCAGCACAACCAACACATTCTATCCAACCACTACTTATCTTACACTCAGCATCCCAACAATCACATGCATAATGAGCCATTTCATTATCCATATGTTGACGAAAACGAATTCGATTTTTATCAATACCAATTTTTATTAAATATAGATAAATTCGACCAATAAAATAACCAAGAGTTTCATTATTAATTAATTTTGAATGAACAGCATCATATAAACGAATTAATTGAGCTGTTTCACCATTGATTTGATTACTAGCTGAATATAATTGAATTTCAAGATCAGCAACAGTATCAAATTTTGGATGAGTCTTATCAATTGGATCAACAAAATGTTCAATTTCTGCCATTGTAAATTCACTAATAATAATAGACATATGCAATTAGTACATATAAAACGAGAAGTAAAATATACCGTACCGAACTCGTAGTAAACCTGATCTTGGCGAAATTTCATTTCGAAATGAATTACCAATTTGTGCAGCGGCAAATGGTAATTGACCTTGATTAAAATTTAATAGTCTTTTAAAATTAACAAACATGCCTTGAGCAGTTTCTGGTCGAAGATAACTAAATCATATAAATATTTGTATAACTCGTATTATCATATATTATATTTAACAAACTCTTTTGTTTGACTTATTGGACCAATTGAAGTTGAAAACATTAAATTAAAAGCTATAGGTTCTGATAGTTTATTATTAGTATTAGGTGATTTTATATTTTATTTTTCTATAACTTGTTGCATATCTTCTGCATTCATATTACCAATCTATATGAAATAATCAATTATCATTAAAAAAAATTCTTCTACAGTTAAAATCTACCTGTGGTAATAATTGTTTAATTTCAGTTTTATTTTTTGCATCACTTATACCTTTTGTCTCAAGTAATTTTTCGAAATAACCTATTTTTTAATATAATAATAATAATAATTTGATGAAAATATAATCTATTAGTTTTTTTACCTTCAATTAAATGATCTGCTCGAAAACATTCACCTGTTTCAGTATCTTTTATCATCAGATCTGTAAATCGATCAACATGACCTGATGCTCTAGAAAAAAAGATGAGCAATTTTGATCTTTTTCTATATATAAAATAAATAATCTACTTGAGTACAATTTCTGGCGTTAACATTGAACAATCTATTTCAAGCATTTGTTCTTGGAGAATAAAATGTCGACGCCATAGATTTATAATATTTGTTTTTATTGCACAACCAACTGGACCATAATCATATAGACCATTCACACCGCCATAAATTGAAAACGATTGATCATAAAAAAATCGTCGTTTCAATAAGTTTTCCATTTCCAAACGCATACTATTTTTATCTTCACACATATTTTTAAATAATAAATACGAATAGAAATAAACTTGATTTTATAGTTATATTTTTACAATATAAATGCATGATGCAAGAAAAAGTTTTTTCTTTTTTCTTTTCTTTCGGTAAAATGAGAAAGAATGATGAAAGAAAATATTTTTATATTTAGTAATGTCTTGCGAAATTACTTGAAACACATTGATGTAATAAACGATTTTTCTATTGTAATCTTCTTGATTTATTTTATTAAACCTTTCAATTAAATTATTACTAATTGTTGATGGCAATAACTTCAATAAGAATTTATAAATGACAGCGACGTAAAATATCATATTATTATTTAAAAAAAGAAAAGTTAAATTTAACTTAACTTTAATAATTTATTTATTATCGATATTTCGGCTATTATATAGCCATTTTCAAAAATAACTTTTGTACAAATATAACGCGAACACAAAGATACATTTGTAGTTTCTTTATATAAAAAAAAGTATAGCTATATTACGTATTATCACAATTAGGGGGATGCGTGCTGGTGTTTGTGCGTATCGATATCATTTAAAAATAAATCACAGCCACTCTTTGAGTTGGTAAAAAGATGTCCAGAATTTGTTTTATACTAAATACTACAGCACCAAAGAAGACATGATTTGGATCAGGGAATGTTATTTGAGCTGGCACCAATATTAAAAAACCAATAAAACTGGTGAGTAAATTGCACCATTTATCATTACTTTTCCAAACAAGATAATATCTGAATTGCTTTGGAATTTTTGTCGAATATGGATAGGTAAGCCGTAGTTGGAATGTCCACATAATAATCAAGGATAATTGCGAGTAACTATATTGATCATTCAGGCCATCTTTTCGTAGCAACCGCATTATATCTTGTGTGTAGAACCTGTCTTCGAGGCGTCTGATTTTCCATCCGAAGAATCTCTATTATCGGCTCTCAAGCGTCACAACCAAATTTTGGCCATTCTCTTGACTTGAAGGATTAGATGCCATTCACTAAATTTTACAAAAGAATAGGATTGAACTAAATTAAAATAATTTAGTAGCTGATCGTACCTTTTGTTATTTAATGAAAAAGCTGGTTGTGGACGTGAACTTCGAGTTATGAAATGAAATGTGGGAAATTTCATCGATCTTATCTAAGTCGCTCGATGAGATTGTACAGGAAGAAAACACTTCGAGAAAAAAAATAAATATATATATATATATGTACACGTGTACAAGTTTTCTTTCGCTTTTTTGTTACATAGGAATTCGTATACAACGATCTTATAAATTTTGTTGGATCTTATTCGATAGTTAGTATGTTCCAAAAATGTTGAATAATTGATATCAAAATTTCCTAAAATTTTTTCATACATTACGACGATTAAAAGGTTTTAATATTTCATTTGTCAAAGAAAATTTTTGTTTTGAATAAAAATATTTCGTTTTTATCATTATCTTTTCAACGATGTTATTCCTTTTCTGAAAGGAAGGGTTATACAGCGTTTAACTCTTCGGCTTCAAATACATAAAGTTTGTTCCTCTAAGCCAAGAAGAATTTAGCACGCACTGAACCAATAAAAACTCATTCCTGACCATTCGACAAAGTTTGACCAAAGGTGGTCGGAGAATCGGAATCTAAGGTTAGCTTTTTTGAATTTTTTACGATTGTTATTTTTTATTTCTGTTTACAATAATAAATACAAATCTTAAGCGTCAGCTATTCCTAGCTTATTCGTATCTAATACTCTGATTCAGATTCATTTGATTTCTAATTTGTGATATTAAATATGGCTTCATTCAAATCAAAATAAGTGTTAAAACATTAATATATTGCCCTTTGTTTGATCATCATTCAATCAAATATTCAAGAAAAAACATCTACAAAAGATGGTTGAAAAAATATAGATACGTAAAAGAACCCGAAACATAGAGTTTACTTGTCTAGTTTATCGTCTTTTGATCATAGATTCTTTTGATAAATGTTCTATTATCCGTTTTGATTTCGTGATAAATGATCTCAATATCTATGACAACTTAAGGAAGCGATGTTTGGCTAAATCGTATTTATTTATTAAAACATCTCTATTGCTTTCAATGAGAGGTAAATTTTGTTATTTCTAATCTGGATAACGTAATTTTGATACAAAATATCAAGTAAATATTATCAGAAAACATGTTTAGATGCAGCCTTTACTTGCAAAAGAAATATTGTATATTTATGACAAAAAAAATTCTATATGTAAAGTTCATTGGAAAACTTTACGCCGTCATCATTTTTAAAATAACTAAAAGACAAAATTATCAATAATACTAACAATGAAATTACTATTTTGTATAAATATTTTTGATTGATAAGTAAATATCAAATATAAATTGAATAATATTCAAACGAAATCATTTTATTGTATCTTTTCATACATGTACGTTGATTTCTTTAAAATATTATTTACTGCGTTGAGTGAAATCATCATATTGACTAATTTTTTCTTCGTTGTATATCACATACAATGAGACTTCTAAATTACATGAACAGTAAGATATATACATCCATAATGATTATGTCTTACCTTGTCATTGTCCATTTTCACTAATGACACTATCAGTGGCGGATCTAGGATTTTGGAAGGGGGGGGGGGGGGAAATTTTTTTTTTTTTGAGTTTGGAGGGACGATACCTGGGGAGGGGGTGGGGGATTTTTTTTGAGTATGGAGAGGCAATACTTGGGCGGGGGGGGGGCGATTTTGGTTAAAAGTTATTTTTTGAGTCCAACCGAAGTAGTGTGAACCTATTTTTTCGTTCATTTTTGCTGTAAAAAATCAAAAAAAATTTCGGAAGGGGGGGCGATCGCCCCCATCGCCCCCCCTAAATCCGCCACTGGACACTATATATATATTCCTTTCGTTTCATTCAATTGACTTGAGAAGCGTTTTCTATTCATATTAACCTACAGATCTGCTCCCCGGCATATTAATAACTATAGAAATCATTTATTTTTCTATCTTTCGTTTATTTGTTCAATATACATATGAATCATTCTTTTTATTAAAACAGAAAGAATAACCCAGAGTACTGAATAAATGCAGTTCTTTTTCTCTCCTTCGTGGTTATTGTAAACACCCTGTTGGGTAGCCCATCTTTTTCTTACCCGACAGAGAGAAACTCTACCTTGTTCAAACCCAATAATTTTACATCGTGAAGGTCTCTTTGTACAATACATATCAACATATATGTATTGTATACCTTACCGATGGGTGTTACCACACATTTGTGTCTCAACGAGATCAGACTTTCTCTGTACGCGCGTGCATTTAAAACAATTCTTTTCTTATTTAAAAAGTTTATTTTTTCTTTTGCATAAAAACAAAATTCATAGCAATACAATTTATTTTTTGTTTTTTATGCGTTCGAGATTCATTCTGTATCCTTGAAGACGAACATGATTTGTAGGTAATGATTGTTGCGCAATTTGTATAACAAGTTCATGAAATGGACGGGCTTTTGAGTAGTTACCCATACTTTCATATACCAGACCAATGTTGCTGTAGGACATAGCCAAATTAGGATGACTGAGAGGAAGTGATTGCTGTCGAATTTCTAGGGCTTTTGCATGAGTTGTAAGTGCTTTTGGATAATTACCTATGATTTGATGTATTAAACCAATGTTGTTGTAAGAAGAAGCCAAATCAGGATGATTGGGAGGAAGTGATTGTTGTTGAATTTCAAGGGCTTTTTCATAAGATAAAAGTGCTTTTGGATAATTACCCATGTTGTCATGCACATTACCAATGTTATTGTAGGAAGAAGCCAGATTAGGATGATTGGCAGAAAGTGATTGTTCTTGAAGTTCTAAGGCTTTCTCAAAATACGAAAGTGCTTCTGGATAACTACCGATCTTGGAATGCACAATACCAATGCTGTTGTACGAAGCAGCCAAATCAGGATGATTGCGATGAAGTGATTGTTGTCGAATTTCAAGGGCTTTTTCAAGAGATAAAACTGCTTTTGGATAACTACCCATCTTGACATACACTTCACCAATGTTGTTGTAGGACTGAGCCAAATCAGGATGATTGGGAGGAAGTGATTCCTGGTGAATTTCAAGGGCTTTTTCATAAGATAAAAGTGCTTGTGAATAATTACCCATGTTGTCATACACATTACCAATGTTATTGTAAGACTGCGCCAAATCAGGATGATTGGGGGGAAGTGATTGTTGTCGAATTTCAAGGGCTTTTTCAAGAGATAAAACTGCTTTTGGATAATTAACCATCTTGGCATGCACTTCACCAATGTTGTTGTAGGACTGAGCCAAATAAGGATGATTGGGAGGAAGTGATCGCTGCCAAATTTCAAGGGCTTTTTCATAAGATAAAAGTAGTTGTGAATAATTACACATCTTGTCATGCACTAAACCAATGTTGTTGTAGGACTGAGCCAAATCAGGATGATTGGGGGGAAGTGATTGTTGTCGAATTTCAAGGGCTTTTTCAAGAGATAAAACTGCTTTTGGATAATTAACCATGTTTTTATGCACTTTACCAATGCTGTTGTAGGACTTAGCCAAATCAGGATGATTGGAGGGAAGTGATTGCTGTTGAATTGCAACGGCTTTTTCATGATAAGAAAGTGCTTCTGGGTAATTAATCATGTTTCTATGCACTTCACCAATGCTGTTGTAGGACTTAGCCAAATCAGGATGATTGGAGGGAAGTGATTGTTGTTGAATTGCAAGGGCTTTTTTATGATATGATAGTGCTTCTAGATAATTAGTCATGTTTCTATGCACAGCACCAATGCTGTTGTAGGACTTAGCCAAATCAGGATGATTGGGAGGAAGTGATTGTTGTTGAATTGCAAGGGCTTTTTCATGATAAGAAAGTGCTTCTGGGTAATTAATCATGTTTCTATGCACTTCACCAATGCTGTTGTAGGACTTAGCCAAATCAGGATGATTGGAGGGAAGTGATTGTTGTTGAATTGCAAAGGCTTTCTCATAATATAAAAGTGCTTGTGGATAATTACCCATGTTTTCATACATTAAACCAGTGCTGTTGTAGGACTTAGCCAGACCAGGATGATTGGGAGCAAGCGATTGTTGTTGAATTACAAGAGCTTTCTCATAATAAGCAAGTGCTTTATCATAAATAAGCATGTTTCGATACACTTCACCAATGTTGTTGTAAGAAGAAGCCAGGTTAGGATGATTAGGAAGAAGAGTTTTTTGTTTGATATCAAGTGATTTTTCATAGAGTGTAAGTGCCTCTTGATATTTTCCTTGATCTTTTTTAATCGAACCAATTTGACCGTAAAGAAGTGCTTTGTCTTTATCATCGTTTGTTTTATCGAGTAAATCGTGATAGATATCTTCAGCTTTATTAAATTGACCCATTTGCAATAGTACCGAACCCAATCTGTACCATCCTTCTTCATCTGGAGAACACTCTTGTCGGATAGAATCAGTAAGTCTAGACAGTTCTGGATCATTGTCAGCAGTCAGTATCAAGTTGACTTCATATAAACGATTATTTTCACTTATCTTTTTAATGTCCTGTAGACGAAAAACGCTATGCATCGAGAATAAGACTTCCTCTTCTCCTTGGAACTTGCTAATACCAGCAATAGAAGCAAATGGTGTTGTTGATTGAGAGGAATCTACTTTCATAATGAAAAGTATTCCAATTAAATGTGGATTGGTCTGATTGCTTTCAGCAAAAGCATAGGAAACTGCATAATCTTTACTGCTAGATAAGAAGTTGTTGAATGAAATAAGACCACCTTTGATTTTCGTCATTTGCTCAAAATCTCCTTTAGATAAGCCTTGACCACGGTAAACAGTGAAGGTGTCTGCAGCAGTTGTACCAGCATATTGTTCCTGATGCAGTTTTTCAATGTAACGATGTAAATCACCAATGAAGAAACCCATGCGTATAATGATATCACCATCCATCAATCGTAATGCACGATTGAGTATGGGATACAAGAACACTTGACAGGTGTACCAATAAATTGGTGTTTTGCTGTGATATTCACTTTCTAATTGTTTAATGTTTTCAATTTCTTTTGGATTATCAGCAAAAACATCGTAACAATAATCGATGTAATCTTGGATGTGGTTTTGCTCGAATTTGATGGTTAATATAATTTCTTTGATAATTTGGGTGTACATAAAAGAAGGATCTAATTGATCCAATTTTTTATTTGATCCCAAGAAACTTATGGTAATAGCATTTTTCTCACATCGATTAGCTACTGATTTGAGTGCTTCACAGATGGGTGTAATATCTGTGAAGACACCCTTTATTTTGGGCCAATCTTTGGTCCATTGCTCATGGCGTTTTTCATTACCACATAAAATAAATATTGAATCAACTTGAGGCATATTGTGCACACGAGACATAATATGTTGTCCAAGTGATCCGGATATAATCATACATACTTTGGTATCGACGATTGTTTGAATGAATTCAAGGCATTGATCAACATCTGTATATGTATTGATGTCGTTAACAACACGTCGTAATTGTTTTATTTTATTCTGACAATCATCATTTGCTTCGTCAATATTACTGTCTAACCAGATTAGAAGAACATTTTGCATTTGTTTGATGTCGATACGTCGACGGCCTTCTACACCTTTTGTAACTGTAGATGCATTTGTTGCTGGTTTTCCTTTGTTCATTGTTTACTAGGTGAATGATTCGAATTGCAGCTACTGAGTGAAATTTACTAGTGAAGTAATGCTCAAAAATCTTTTTTTTATAGTTGTCTACTTCCTTTCGAAATGTTTTATCTTTAACTGTTTATGATGTTGCAATGAAAAAAACAGCTGAAGAACGAAAAAAAGCAAACTGATGAGATATTGTTATATCTTTGACGAACATTGAGATAGTCCACAAACAATAGGTGTTTTATTTGCTTTGATGGAGAAAAAACGTGTCGAGTCATGTTTGTTATTGAAGAATTGCAAGTGAAAAAAATTATTTATAATGGTAAATATTGACTGATTTACACAAGTTGATAACATAACTCGTCATTGCGAGCTAGTAGACATGAAATTTAAAAAAATATTTAAACTAGCTTTTAACATTTTTCTTGCTGTATTCCGTTGACTGAAAGTCTGTATGTAACCATTATGTAGATAACAAAGATAAACTTGTAAAAAATGTGCATTTGTCATTAACTAACGTCAAAAAAAATAAATGGAATCGTCAGAAAAAGTCTTTATCATGTCTCTATCTTCCTAAGGTTTGGGCAGGTTCTCTTCCGAATATAGATGTGGCTGAGTGTCGGTTTATTGAAAAGATTACACCGACGCCCTCATCTGGAATTTATTTGCAGAAACGACTAATAGCATGAATAGATCGTACACCTTTGTTCCAAAAGTATAATATTGATATATGATGAGTTTGCAAATCACTAGAAATACGTGACCCATCAAAAATAAAAACTTATTTAAACTGGCCAAAGATTTTATCATATACATACATCTGTTCAAACAGAGTAATTGTTCCTAAAAACTCATGTCGTAGATATAAACTATGAACATCAAAAATAATATTAAATTATCACTCTTCTATTATAAGTTCAGTGATAGGATTGTTGACAATCTTCATAAGACAGATGTATATGAGAGGAGCTAAGCAGGCATCTTATTTTCTTTACTAATTTATTTTGATCGAAAGAACTTAATTTGGGTGGGTGTGAGTTTGATAAATAATATACACCCACACCCTCATTATATGATCGGACTCTACAGTTTACTGACCAAACTAGTTCTGTTTCTTTCAGAAAAAGGTGAGCGAGTTCAAAGATAAGCGCTGCTTGTTTTATTCGATAAAAGATAAATCAATGTCACATCTCTTTAAATTAATTTCTGATTTAAAATCAAATGGAAATATATAAATTGTTGAAAAATTCATTTTGATATAGTTAGTTTTCGAAAGTAAAGAATTTTAGATAGTTTACAAGTTAGTCATCAACGAATAAGATATTCTTTTCGAAAGAAAAAAATTTATTCATGTAAAATTATTTTTTTTTCTTCTTTTTTCATAAAAGCCTTTTCGTGCGTAAAGAAATGAAGATGTTTGGATCCGATCCTTACAAATATAAACAATATAAAGATTTCCTTTAAATTGACGTTTTCGGTTAAAATTTTTTATACTTGTATATATAAGTTTACAAGACAAAAAATTCGTCTCATTATCTTTTAAATAAGCATATTTGTATTAAAGATGGATATGTTATTTTTTTTATCTAATATTTATTTTAATACACAAATGTGTGTAGAAGTATTAATAACTCTTTTGCATGTAAGTAGGTGGCTCTGATAAGAGAAAAAACACTCACATCTTCAATATGACGAGTAACCTTAATTTATTGATATTACAATGAGAATTAGGACATTCTTCCCATGAGTTGTTGTCGTAGATATTGAATAGTATGACGTGCAGAATATATTCCCTTAACTACAGTAAATCGACGAATAGTACATTGAAGTTTACCCATTCTTCTACGTCGCCATTGTCTTCCTGGTGTGTATCTTGGTGGAATATAAGCTCTTCGTGAATCGTTGTACCAAACCGTCAATGATCGATAAGCACTAGGTTCGTCGACAATCAATGCATATCTGATGCCAAGTAAAGCACAAACACTTGTTAGGAGCATTCCACCATCACGAAAAATTACCCATCCATACGAACATGTAGGCGGCCAAGAAGGAAAATACATCAATTCACGTATAACATCACGACACAAATCTAGAATATCATAATTGAAAATAGACCAAACTGTGTGAAAAAGACAAGCGCCGAAAAATAGTGGATGAAATGATGAATAATAAAAGTTTTCTTCCAACTTCCAAAACACAGATATATAAGCGCAAATTAAAACAATGCATGCCAAATGATTGCACCAGAATGATATTCTAAAAATGAAAATCCATATCGAATAAACTTTTAAACTTCATTTTATTCTAAAAGCAATCGTATTTCTATCATATCACGTAGTAAAACGTGACGAGTCCGATGCAACAATAAGATATATCAATAACTTATCTTCCCACTATTGTTCAAAATTTTTCGTAACGAATATCAAATACTTCTTATTTAACCAGTCAATGTATATGATCGGTCTCATTTTTTTCACGATCAGGTGAAAAAGATTTGCAATAAGATGCTCGTGTTCTATATCGTTATTAATGAGGCAGAAAAAAAGCATTCAGTATGATATGACCTACCCCGATTCATTGTTTCTCCATATCCATGTAGTTATGACAAGACACGAAGCAATACCAATTCGTAAACAAAAAGATAGATAATTCTTGCACATGTACGTAGGTGTCTCATCTAATATTTCCATTCTATAACAATGATAAAATACGTCGATGACGTATATATATATATGATATGCATTTCCTCATTGACCTTTTTGCACGTCGACATTGCATTTGTTCGTTTCTTTTTGTTTTCTATCTCAACTTACCGTCCGTGCACGCCAGTGGATATTAGACAACTGATTGTACACGTATGACTAGGGATAGCACTCTATCTTTACTTTTTCAAAGTAAAATAAAGATAAAGTGCCACCCCTACGTACAATTGAAGAACAAAGAAAAGAAAATATCGAACTGAAAAATAGCGAAAAGAGCAATCTTTTCTAATAAAACTTATTCAATAGTTTATTTAGATTAATTGTTTGAAAAATATCGATATAATTATTTTGATTGTAAAATTGATTTACATGATTTAAAAGTGTTCTAAATTTCAAAAGTTTGATTCATCTGTGTATATTGTTCTTTGTAGAGTTTTTGTATTGCAATTAAACGAATTTAAAGAAGATTTTATGGTTTTTTGTGACTTTACAATAATCTTATCAATACGAGATAATCGTGAATCAAAATGTGACTTTGAAAATTTATTTTTATGATTTCGAAGTTCTTTTGACAATTCGAATGAAATTCGACAATATGATTATGTTGAGTGAGAGACTTAATTTTAGATTTACTTCAAGATATAAAGCATTATTGAATACAAGTGTAGAATAGGAACACTATCCAATATATATAATACAATGGCAGAACGAAAAATAATTACTGGAATAGAAATATTATAACATTGAACCAATATTGGTTCGATATTATGATATTTCTATTCTAATAATTTTTTCTGTTCTGTCATTGTGTTGTATATATGGATAATGGCCCTATTCTACACTTGTCCCGTTCATAATTAAACGAACGAATAAGAATAATGAATACTATGATAGTATTCCTCTTTTTGATCATGTACTTGGTAGTTGCCCAGCCATCTATACAGAAATATGCCGTATTTCAACATATTATTATGAACGACGAAAGATACACTTCACCTTGTGAAACTGCTTGTAGAAGTCTCAATGATGTGATATCATTGTTTTTGGTTCTATTTTCGTCTAGGCATGGCTCCATTTTGTGAGAGAAGATATAAGGAATGTTCAAACACAAAAAAATGTTTTGATCACTGGGAAGAAGGTGCCGGTTGCTGGACCGGAAAGAAAGTCTGTTGCTACTATGAAAGTGAAAAGAAACGAGCAAAGGATATGTATAATCTAAATCTTAATTGTGTCGTACATTTGCTCGAATCAGATCAAGATTCAACTAATGAATCTAATTCTTAATTGATACAAGATAATCAATAAATTTTCATGTCTTTTTCCAATTTATATTAACAAGTAAAGCGCCTATAAGGCACATAAAACATTATTTGCAATATATTTCCAGTTTTTGTAGAAAACAGATATATAGGCGAGGATGAGACTGATTATCTCGTCTTCCTTTGAATGTACGCACCTTATCTTTTCAATATAAGCAAAAATGAATGTAGAGAACAATATATTTCAAATTTATTAGTATAAAGTATATTCTTAATTAATTATAACGATCATTTACGATACTGTTATATGAATAGAACTTGAGGGTGGGTATTGACTATAGTCTCATCCACACCCATACCCTCAGATATTACGAAAAGTTTAACCTGCCCAAAGTAGCACAGCTTTTTTACCATATTTCATGTATAAAAAGTTGCCCACGTTGTGGCTGACATAAAAGCCAAAACCGGTACTGACAACACAATGCCATTTTGACGTATGTTGCTTATCTATCGCCTTCTTCACTTGAGTAGCAATCTGAATATCAGCACCACCTTCGTCAATAGCAGACATAATGACATAGATAAAGCGTTCTTGCAGCCATAATGACATATCACAACGAATCACTTCGAACTTCCTATCTGGCGATGTATATGGAATGTCTAAAATTAAGAAAAAGCCGTGTCAATTTGGTATTTTTAAATAAAGAAGTATTTTGCAACATTACTAATAAAATCTATACGTTGATATATATATCAACGAACAGTCTATGACTAAATCATTAGATAATGACTGTACCCTCGGTTGTCAAAGCCTTCTTTTCCGATTTAATAAAAATAAATCTGTCATTTTTTCCTGTCACCAAAAGTAAACAAATCAAAAATTCATTACATATATTCGATTATGTCCCTTAGATATTATGAGTGTTTTCCTTATTCTAAATTGCGCATTTCCAAAAAAATATGAGATATTGGAGAAAACGTCACTCTCCGGCTCGTAGTAGCCTTCTTGGATACTCTCAAAAAATGAATACTGAAACAAAGAGATTTTACTTAATTTAGCGGTCGTAGTATCATTGGCAGTTATCTGTGGAGCAGCTTGTACCACGAATTTTGGCGCGCTTGAGGTAGAAACAGGTGGTTTAGCAGCCGTCGCCGAGTTTGAATGTGGTAATTTTGCTTGTGGTGGTGGTACATTATCTAAATGTGATCAAAAAGATGGTGTTGATTGATTGATTAATAGTGATCGCGCTCGCGTAAACTATAAACCTCTGGTATATATGAACTTTATAGTATTAACCTAGCTTTTACTGTGGTTCTGACAGCTGTACCCAGTTTTTAAAAAGCCAGCTAAGATCGATATACATCAGTATATGTATCGCATCCATTTGCAAACTTCAAAACAGGGTGCGGATGGGTGTGGCCTAGGTGTTGGTGGGAGTATGCATAT